TTTTCCAATTTATTGATTGACAGCTCTCCTGTCCCCATGTTGAGAGAAATCAGAAGATGTTACTGTAGTTCTAAAATAAATATGAATATGCATTCATTCATCTCACTCACACAAAAAAAAACACAGATTCAGTATTCCTCAAAATGAATAAAAATAATGCAACTCAGAATATGACGCAAACCTGCCATAATTAAATGTTAAACAACACAAATATCCTTTATGTATTTAATCCCATTCTATTAACCAATGTCTTTGCTTCTGACCTTGAATGATCCAGTTCAACCGTACTAATAAGCCAAAATTACTCTAGACACACATTTGTGTCTTTTGTTTTATTGCTGAAGTGTGTTGAAATTTCTTCTTCTGCATTCTACTGTACGGACGTAAATTTACTTTCCCTTCAACCTGAGGCTTATTCATTTCACTTTTGGTGTGAAAAGGCTTTTATATTTGCCAAAAATATAACTTTTTTATTTTAAAAACAAACAAGCAAGCCTTGTCCAGATTTAAAAAGTAACGCAAAAGTAACGTAATGCATTACTTTCCATAAAAAGTAACTAAGTAACATAATTAGTTACTTTTTTTATGGAGTAACGCAATATTGTAATGCATTACTTTTAAAAGTAACTTTCCCCAACACTGCTGACAGGACACTTTCACACCAGATCCATCCTCAAGCTCACCGGCGGCAGGTGCAGGTATGGTTTCCGGTTCCGGGAGCTGGTCTTCGCTGCGATCCAGATCATCTTCCGACTGTAACTCGTCGTCTGTCTCGTCGTCGCTGTAGGGCACCACCTCGTCATCTGGCTCCTCCAGAGAACCCTGGGAAGCGGCCCGCGCTCGAGCACTCATCCTGAGAGACCCTCTGCTCCCAGAAAAGACACACAATTACTACATTAAGGCTTTTAAACAGCACAGAGAGACAGTAATCGACAGATTTGCATGTCGTGCAGCAACATGTCAAAACACTGATTTGGCTTGCTAACACCATGCAGAAACACACACACATTTTCCACTACACACACTAAACATACAACACTCTTACAAAACGCTGGTAACCAGCGGCACTGGATCATTACATTACTGATGTACAATGTTATTTAAATACATTTTTTGTTCCTCCAAGTACATTACAAATTTAAGACAAAAATTCTGTTATTATAACTAAAACCATAAAAAGCTGTTATTTGAAATCAAATATTTAAAAACATAAATAAACTTTTTTATTTATTTTTGCTAGCTGCCAAGGCAACATTTTTCATTTTCATAAATAATTAGTAACTGAAGTGCTAAAATAACTAAAACTACATAAACTAAAATAAATGAAAAATACAAACTATGTAGACTATATATTAAATATAAAAATCTAATAAAAAGCCATAAAAATGACAGAAAACACAACAAAATTATTGTATTTTTAGTATTATAATTTTGTTGTGTTTTCTGTCATTTTATAGGCTTTTTATTAGATTTTTATATTTAATATATAGTCTACATAGTTTGTATTTTTCATTTATTTTAGTTTATGTAGTTTTAGTTATTTTAGCACTTCAGTTACTAATTATTTATGAAAATGAAAAATGTTGCCTTGGCAGCTAGCAAAAATAAATAAAAAAGTTTATTTATGTTTTTAAATATTTGATTTCAAATAACAGCTTTTTATGGTTTTAGTTATAATAACAGAATTTTTGTCTTAAATTTGTAATGTACTTGGAGGAACAAAAAATGTATTTAAATAACATTGTACATCAGTAATGTAATGATCCAGTGCCGCTGGTTACCAGCGTTTTGTAAGAGTGTTGTATGTTTAGTGTGTGTAGTGGAAAATGTGTGTGTGTTTCTGCATGGTGTTAGCAAGCCAAATCAGTGTTTTGACATGTTGCTGCACGACATGCAAATCTGTCGATTACTGTCTCTCTGTGCTGTTTAAAAGCCTTAATGTAGTAATTGTGTGTCTTTTCTGGGAGCAGAGGGTCTCTCAGGATGAGTGCTCGAGCGCGGGCCGCTTCCCAGGGTTCTCTGGAGGAGCCAGATGACGAGGTGGTGCCCTACAGCGACGACGAGACAGACGACGAGTTACAGTCGGAAGATGATCTGGATCGCAGCGAAGACCAGCTCCCGGAACCGGAAACCATACCTGCACCTGCCGCCGGTGAGCTTGAGGATGGATCTGGTGTGAAAGTGTCCTGTCAGCAGTGTTGGGGAAAGTTACTTTTAAAAGTAATGCATTACAATATTGCGTTACTCCATAAAAAAAGTAACTAATTATGTTACTTAGTTACTTTTTATGGAAAGTAATGCATTACGTTACTTTTGCGTTACTTTTTAAATCTGGACAAGGCTTGCTTGTTTGTTTTTAAAATAAAAAAGTTATATTTTTTATAATAATAATAATAATAATTATTATTATTATTAACTGATTCCTTCCTTCTTAGCAGCATTCCTAGTGCATGTGCTCAGTGTTTTCATACTGTATGTATTTCTCAATTCTGCAGAAAGTCCATTGTTCATGATGACAATGAAAGGTATGAAATTAATTACGCAAAAACTGAATACAAAAAAACGAGTCAAACTTTGACACAGAGACGCTTTACAGGACAGAACGTGCCGCTGGTGAAAAGATATTCTGATGATATCAGCACTTTTCATCTGCTTCGATATAAAAAGCTTCCTGTCAAACGAACGCAGCTGACGTTCATCAGACTCCACCCCGACACTCGGCTGTGGCCTCACAGGTAACGCCACATAATCTCCAGCATCACACAACACCAGCACTCAGAAAACACAGCAAACCACAGCTGCACATGCATCCATACGACTAGAGACAGTAAAACACAGTGTTACTTCAGCTTGTTTAGTTCTGATAGGATCTAGGTCGAATGATGACATTTTCATAAGTAATATACACAAACAAACAAATAAACAAACATATATATATATATATATATATATATATACACACATACACATATAT